AAAAAAAAAAAAAAACAAAATAAAATTTTCTAAACCTTCTGCTAAACTGTAAACATTTTTTATGACAAAAAATTTATATAGAAAATAATTAAACTTTGCCCTAAACACATACAAATTCAAAAAAATTTCAACTAAACAGAAAAACTCAAAAAATTTTCATAAAAATTTTAAACTCTTCTACCAGATTTTTTAGAAAAATGTTGCTTATAAGTTGTTGAAAAATCTCGTTGCTTTTTGGTATTTTGTTTTGTTGCGCTACAAAACTGTATATATGTAGGTTAATCCAAATTTTTTCTATAAAGCTGTGAACAGTTTAACATCTTTGTGAAAATTGTTTGAGTTTTTTTCTTTATTTTAAAACATTTTTTTTAATTTTTCTGCGTTTAGGACAAAGTTTAATTATTTTCTATATACCTAATTTTTTTTGTCGTAAAAATATAGCTCATAATATTTTTATAACGAATTTTCAAAAAAAAAATACATAAAAAAACACTGCATACACTGAAAAATTCTCCGTGCCTCAACTTTTGTGGTTGACTGTGTGTTTAAAACAAAATTCAGTGATTTTTTCGGTCGTGCACATTTTTATTCCTGCGAGCTGGCGCTGTCATTGAGAATATTAAAACCTCAACTACAGCGACGTCTAACGGTAAGAGCATTTTAAAAATAAGTCTATACTTGCGATGGGGTATAGTAGGACATTTAGGTATTCACTTACTGTGCCTCGACTATACATATTCTACCCTTTCGCCCACATTGGAACACGCTAGGAAACGTGAGCAATTCATGGGCAGAAAGAGAGGGAAGCTGTAGTAAAACCACTCCGACATATCGGCGAAAATTGTGTAGATAGCGAAGATGCTGAGCCTCCAATCATGACGCAATCGATGTTGCGGCGAAGAAATGGTAAGGTGCATGTACCAAATTTGATGCGCTCTACAAATCTCTTATTATGCTCGTTCTTTGATATACCGCAGAATCATGGATGATGTCGATCAAAAAGGAAATACAAGATCTATTGTGACAAGTACAGAAAAGAATAGAAAGACAAACTGTACAAACTTATTAAGATCTCTGCAATTTCTTCAAAGAAATTTTTGCGAAGCATTCACAGAACTCTTCTGCTTAAGGCGCGGAAAAAGACATACAAAGTCTGCAATTCTTTTTCTTTTTCTATGCTCATGCATCTAAGATTAATGTCCGATGTGCGCTTTACCTTGCAGGAAGGCCAGGTAATTATGGATGTTCCAACATTAGTTGGCTTCTAAAATGGTGTGATATAAAAAACTGTTAAAAGATTGCCATTGGTGGTATACCCATCAATAGACTGGGTCGAAAAAAAAAGTTGCTAATGTCCGCCCCTAAATTTAAAGATTATGTTG